TCAAGATTCAAATTTGTTAGTGAACAGCAATATAAATTGATTTCGGAACACAAAACTAACGAGTATTTTACAAGACGAATTTACTTATCAACTATAGTGGCTATACAAACTAGTTGCAAATAAATATAACTCCCTTCATGTCACCTTGTATGCAAATTTTCAAACTAAGAGTTACAAAGGACACTAAGAGTTACAAAGGACACTGATTCTAAGCAACATACCATATACTCTATGTGAATATGGAGTGTTTAATTCAAAAAGTTGCAAGAATTAATGAGTATGCTAAGCGGTTAAACATGACCTCCACAGAAAAATGTAAATAAGATATGGCTAATTACAACTAACTCGAAGGTGGTGAAGCCAAGTTTGGGGTAATTTGAATGCCTTTTCAATGGAATTATGTGATGAGCATTTGTAGTAAAATGTGGTGCAGGAAATCGTGTTTGGATAAGAAAAATATATATTTAAGAAAGTGATAAGACAAAATAAGGTGGTATGTGTGATTTTATTATACCACTAACCACGGGTGAGAAAAGAAAAATACAATTGATAATTCAAAGATTTGCAAAAAATTATTAATTTACAAAGCTAGAAGTTTTTACTGTGAGTTTATAATGATTAGTTAAAATAGCATACAACTATAAACATAATAATCATTAATCATAAATTTTTTGGAAATAGTTTTGCTATTTTGTTGATTTGTTGCAGATACACGGGTGTGATTTTCTGTTCACCTAAACTGACTTTGACTTTTTCTGCTGCTCTACCTCCTACACCACCTACTATTCTAGCAAAAAGGAGAAAATTAGATAAATTAATGTAGATAAATTGCTTATAGATCAATAAAATCAACAATCATGCCAAATGTCTTTTCCATTACATAAATGGTGGCACTTTTATAAGATTCCAAAAACTGAGAACAAACAACAGTCGTGATCTCTCTCAGGCTATGGGGAGTGATCACAACCAAACCACCAGTCATCTCAGCGCCACGTAAGTATTTTAGTATTCCACAACCAACCTACTAGGTTGTGGAAATGGTGTTCACCGGTGGGTTGGTAGTGAAGAGACAAAAAGGAGGAGAGAGAAGTAGAGAGAAAATGAAAACTCATGCCTTCCCATTGTATGTCTTCATGCGTCTTCACAACCACTGCAGCCCACTCCACACCCAACCCACCAGCCTCTGGGGCGGTGTTCACCGTTGGTTGGTGTGCGACATAGGAAACCCATGTGTGGATTCATTCCCACACCGGATAGCCTCATGTAATAACGGAAATGTGAACCCTCATCAAGATGTAAAAATGGATTTTCTTTATACGCACCATCCTACTGCACACACCAATGTAACATCTAACATATTTTTAATGATAACCTATTTTGAGCATAGATCCTGGTTTTTTTTTTTTTTTGGCTTTTTACTTTTACACTCTATCCTAAACGGTGCCTTGTAAAATCCAAACTCCAAAAATGCTCCATTTTCCGATAATATGACAGGTGTAGCCATGAGGAGTTTTTAATTTTTCTTAAAGTTATTCATTTTTTCTTTTCTTTTTTCCCCAAAACTTAAAGTTATTTTTTCTTTCTTTTTCTTTTTAAAGTCCTTTTCTTCTTTTCAATAAATTTATGTATGTGATATATATATTATTATGTAATACAAAAATTCTAAATTCTCATATTTCAAATAACGAAAACAACATACTATGTAAACAAAATAAATTGATTTGGGACCTATAAATTTAATACATATTTTTAGAATTTATACACCATTCTAGTTTTATAACACACCAATCAAATTTAGTTATAAGGTTTTTAATTTACACATAACAGCCTTTAACTAATTTTTGAGTGGGAGCATGTATTTATGTGCTGCGTCTTCCTTTTTTTTGCTTTTTTTTTTTTTTGTTCTTCTATACACACCATGACTAGTGTTTTTTTTTTCTGATATTTTTGCCATAAATTTTGAAAAAGTAAACTTCCGTAATATCATTGTAATTTTAATTCCTCTATATATACTTTATTTTCATATAATACTTTTTAGTCGGGTAATAACAGTATTAATCAGTTTTGACGGAGAGTTATCGGAGATATGATACCCTAGCCTTTAATTGTTTTTAAAACATATAGTTGTTATAAGGTTCATGACATTTAATAATTAATATAAAATACGGTTTGGCAAAAACTTTTATTTGATACACAACTTTGAGGTGATAATCTTACATTAATAACCATAATTACATCAAACTATATATAAGTCGTATCTATATTTTATAAAAGGATTTGTTTAAAATATATCTTTCTAATGATATTATATATATTTCAACTAATGATATTAGGTTTATTGAAAATGGAAAATAATAATAATAATAATAATAATAATAATAATGGCCTTCTAACAAAAAATATAATATATTAAATTTATATAAAAATGAAAAAAAATAAAAAATATATTAAATTTGTGGGATTACATCTGAAAACCAAGTTAAAAAATCGATGAAAACAAAGTAAAAAAAAAATTATGATTTTTTTATAAAAACAATATTATTGTTATCTTTTTATCTTATATAAAAAAAAAGTTTAAAACTAATTATATTAATAAAGTTTTTATTATTATTATTATTATTTTTTTTTTTGAAACGACAAATCTAACATATTCCTAAACTACACCTTAAATCCATCTATGTCCACGACGAGACTTGAACCCTCAACCTCAAGGAATGAGGGCAACACACCGGATACTGCTGGGCTAGAAGCCCTTTGGTCAATAATAATTAGATTGTTATGAAGCAAATGTATAAAAGTTATTCAAATGATTATTGGTGTGATTATTATAGTAACGATGAAAAAATAAGGATCTAGAATGGTTTATAATAATAGGTTGGTGTGTATGTAGTAGCACCCTTCTATTTAACCATCAAACCTATATATACTTCATTAAATGGAATAAAAGATTACCTTATTGGAAGACTTATTACATCTTTATTTGAAAGTAATTATATAATTCATATTTATCCTAATTAAAGAAACATTATTATATTAATTGGAATTGAAAAATTTATGAGATAGGAATTTGATAATAGTGCCATATATTTTGATAATATATTTTTTTGAATGAGTATTGATGAATATTTTTCAATTTTGACCAAAATACCCTTCCATCCAAAAAGGTCCAGAAAAATATTTTCCTATTTTGACTAAAATGACATTTTCTTCCAAAAAGGTCCAAATTCACATGCAAACAATCTTTTCTAATTATTTCATTCTTGAACAAATTAATAATCATTTTGAAACTTTAATCACATAGTTATCCATGAATACCATTTCGGCCACTTTAAAACAACATATAAATATATTCCTAATTCTTGAACATTGAGATAACCATTGTGATTCTTTAGTCTGATCAATTTCAAACCACAGATCAAACACTCAGATTGCCTTGGATTGGATGACAAATAAAAAATATACACAGTCACATACACATAGAGGATCATATTATATTCTTTTGTACTTTCTTTGCAGAAATAATGCAAGTAAAAAAAAAATAGGGTGGAGGTATATACTTAGTTTCTACCTTAATTAAAAGTAAAATAAAACAACCAATAAAAGGTATTTCTTGTTTCTAAGGTTAGGATTAAAAATAAGCTTGATTATCATTAGCATTATAGTGATGTAGAATATCAAAATGTAATGATTGATGAAGCCTATAAACAAATGGTAAAAAGCCAACCTTTAGAAAATAATCAAACTAAACAGCTCTTGCACTAAAACAAAGAACAAGTAGATATGGTTCCACATGAACTGCAAAAAAAAAATAATAATAATAAGCAAACATATGATCTTTACACGTTTAAAGATAAGAACTTGGTAGAATGAATAGAAAAAACAAAGTGCTTTTGATAAGTATAGCATAATCAAGTGCTAAGATTTGGTGTTCATGTTGCTTTTAAAGCAAGTCCAAAACTTTTTCTTTTTGATTAATTTTGGAAGTTGAAAAGAAAAACAGAATTTTGACTTTGATCTTGATTTTGTTTTTATGGAAATGAGGGAAAAGCTCATTATTTGAAAATTATAACCAAGTAAACATATAAACTGTAAATAGGTAATTTAACTTTTATGTAAAATAGGCTAAATATATGCCAGGTGGCAAAAAAATGAATGATTCCTTTATTTCAAACATCCTTAGAATATCAAATTTACCTTGATTTCAAACCTCATTGTTATCTTCAGCTGCTGCTAGGGAATCAGGTGAAACCAGGCTCTCAACAAAGGTATATGCTTTATAACATCCATCAAAGTTCTGAATCTCTGAGAACGAACAATTCTTGGAATCATACACAACCAAATTATACCCAGATTTCAACAAAATTTTCCCATCATTTGAAATACATAAAGGCACTGAAAATAGATTCCAATCAGGAGTCAGGTATGGGATAGAAATCAATTTAGTCCAAGAATCTTTCACCCTGTAAAATTTCATCACCCATACATCTGCATAATATCTATGATAATCACAAAGCATACACAGCCATTCGCCAAAAGCCCCAAATATCATATCACTGAAACCCTTATCATACACAGGATGCAAAATTTCACCGAATGTCTCCTTTGCTAAATCAAGAGAAACTAACCTCATCGATCCACAAGGCCCAGTGAGCCAATGAAAGGCTCCATTCAAATACTTGATATTATTATCCCAAGAACAACCATTAGGATAATCACCAATTCTCTTCCAATTTCCAGTTTTCAGTGAGTATATCTTGAATATGGCAGTATCATCGGATCCAACAGACATTCCAACAACTTTGTAATCGTCATTGGGCTCATAGTACCCAAAACCATACAATTCACTACGAAAGAACCAGTAGAGGGTAACCTTTTTGATCTGCGAGTACTAGGGTTCCAAATAAACAGAGTTTTGTCCTCGTTTCTTACTAATAACAATCCATTGCAGGAACCAGAGATTGAAACAAATTTAAGAGGATCTTTCAACGGACAATCAAGCTCTAAGGCCGTAAGGCGTTAACAAATCCAACATGCAACACATCATACAAAGGACAACTCTTGAGATAACTCTTACGACTTTCTGTTGTCAAAGTATTGAATATAAATCTATGATGTGTATAGAGATTGTTACTAGTTGACAAACTGAGATGAGATTTGATGAAATGAGAATCGGATATTATAGAGCACCATAACTTGCAAACAGACCTACTCCGCAAGAGCGATTCAACCGGAAGCCTCTTAAGAATTTCGACAATGATCTCAGCCGGAAGCGTAGGAACTGATGGAGGATTTTCCGACGTTTTGATACTCTTTTGTTGTTGTCGCTGCTGCACCTCTTCTTCGTCTTCAAGTGCCATATGCGCGACTAGGGTTTCATTTTTGGGATTACAGAGGTGACATACTATTTCGGGGTGTTAGGGATTGAAGGTTAAAAACTCAGAATTCCTTCAATTTCTTGTAATGCAAATTTCTTGTAATGCAAATTTTGAAGGTTAAAAGCCTGAATTCCTTCAATTTCTTGTAATGCAAATTTCTTGTAATTCAAATTTCTTTGCATTTCGGCATTGCCCAACACTCATATTTAGCTTTCATCTTGTTGAAACTTTAGCTTTCATCTTCCTAACACTTATTTTTGGCTTCTTATTTCACTCGTAAACTGTTTGCCTAACCACTTATAAGTTACTATGGACCCAAACTTAAACACCCTGCTACAATTATGTTCACTAACTAGAAATTTTATCTAAAAAGTCTTCTCTTTAGTCATCCAAGAGGCCCAAAGTCTAAATGGACAAGTTGGTGACTTGTTTTTTTTGCAACACTTAACTAACAACCTTTGGGAGTCATTTTTTCAAACCAAAGATCATATCCATTAGCAACTGCATCGTTGCTCAACATGTTTTTAAGCTCATCGGGGTTAGAAAATCGCATACCTAACAGTGGTTTCATCTGATTCCATGGTTGTCTATCATCATGCACAGGGTATTGAGGTTCAACATACTGAACATCTTCATATACATCATCTACATTTACTGTATGTAGACAAAGTTTGTTTAAGAACCTGTCACCCATGGTTTTGTTGGTTGAGAATAGATATTCAGCATCATCTTCTTCATGGTCAACAGAATAAGTGTCCGACAAGACTGAGTCTTCATCCTCTTCACAGTTGTAGTCTTGATCTTCATTTTCCCCTTCCTCAATCCATTCGAAGATTGGTTCATTCTGGTGGTCCACATACACATTCATTCTCCTCTCATTTGCATAAGCCAAATCCAAAAATTCTTTGTAATCACCGTCATTCACCAGTGTATGAATTCCTTGACTTAAAGACTCTTGTGGAAGGCAGAAGTAGATGTCTTTGCTTCTACTTCTGGTGAGCTTGTGAAGGAATTCCATGAACTCCTCGTACTCAAATGCACTGAAGTCAACATCTCGCACTGATTTGTCTGTCGGGATCAAAGTATACTAATGGGTTGGGTGCAAACGTTCCATTGTAATGAAAATCCAATACAATGAAGTTTCGATCAGTGGGACATTGTGATGAAGCCATTATAGAGACCGATTGAAGATTGAAGGAGACAAAATCGGGGGTTAATGAGACTTCGTGCCCTAATCGAATTTAAGGACCAAATGAGACTTCACTCTTAACTTTAATGAGGAGGGGAGGAAAAATCAGGGCCTACATGCCACCTCATTGGCCACGTATGATAAAAAGCCACCTCATTGCCCACGTAGGATAAAAAGCCACCTCAGACCGATTCAACCATTGAAACCGGCTAATATCGGTCATAAGGGAAAATTTTACACGAATCAACAAGTTAAATGGCTATTAGAGCACGAAAAAAAGTTTAGTGACCAAAAGAAGAGCGTGTTTGGGATTGCTTTTAAAACAACTTTTGGCTTTTAACTTTTCCAAAAAGTTAAAAAAGATCCAAAAGATGTTTGGGTATTGAAAAAGATCTTTTAAAATAACTTTTTGTGTAGAAGGAAAAGATAGTGTTTCAAAAGTCATAAAATCTTATCTTTTTGTGACTTTTGAGACTTTTTAAGACTTTTTAACCTGAAAAGTTAACTTTTACCCTAAAAGCAAATACAAACATTTTTTAAAGATTTTCTTTTGGAAAAACTCACTAGCCAAAAATAACATTATGGGAGATTATGGTCATATGGTCATGAAATTCTGAGGACAAACTCTGGGTCTACTGTGAGGATGGATGTAGACATCATGCCAGATTCCATAACTTTGTTTTCTAAGTATTATGTCTGCTTTAAAGCTGTAAGTGATGGTTGGTGCAGGCCTGTGATTGGTCTTGATGGTTGCTTTTAAAGGGTATTGTTAGAGGATAAGTTTTGGCAGCTGTAGGGAGGGATGCAAACAACCACATCTACCCTATAGCATGGGATGTGGTTGGAGTTGAGAACAAGGCCACATGGAAGTGGTTCATAGATATCCTCATGGATGACATTGATGGTGGTCTTGGTGTAGGCATTACCCTTCTTTCTGATGGACACAAGGTGAGCATTGGTTCATATTTATACATTTGTTTTTATGCATGTTTCACTAATTTTGTTGTTGTTATTTGTAGCGGTTGCTAGAAGCAGTAAAAGAAAGGTGTCCAGAAGTTGAACACAGACAATGTGCCAGACACATTTTGGCTAATTTTGCTAAAAGGTTTACTGGTCAACATTTCAGGAAGCTGTTTTGGAGGGCTGTCAAAGCTAGTACTGAACAGAAGTTCAGACATGCAATGCAAAAGATCAAATATGTAGATACTCAAGCATATGACTACCTTATAGACAAAGATCCTACTACCTGGTCCAAGGCATTTTTTCAAGAGGGAAGAGATTGTGATGCAGTTGAGAATGGGGTGAGTGAGAGTTTCATTCTGCTATTAGGCATGCTAGAAGGAAACCAATCATCACTATGCTAGAAGAGATTAGGATATTTGTGATGGAGAGGATATACAGTCAAAGAGTAGAAGGAATTGAATGGGATTTGACTATCTGTCCAAGTATTAGGAAGCTTATACAAGATTTGAAGGTTAAACAGAGGTAATATGTAGTTTTACCATTCAACATATGGTTTTTATTAGTTTGTGTTATTAGTTATTAATTTGTAGTCTTTATTGCCTTATACAGATTGTGGGGGGTTACTCCTTGTGGTTATCAAAAGTATGAAGTTAGGTTCAATGATGCAACATATGGAGTGGATCTAATTGCAAAGACTTGTGCATGTAGAATATGATAACTTACAGGGATACCATGATTACATGGAGTGGTTGCAATCTCTTCCTTGAATCAAGATGCAAAAACATATGTGTCCCAATCATACAATAAAGAGGCTTATCTAAAATGCTACAATTATAGCATTAACCCTCTCAATGGTAGTGATATGTGGCCAGAAGTTCCTTATCATAAGCCTTTGCCTCCCAAAAGAAGAAGATTACCTGGTAGGCCATCAGTGAAAAGGAAGAGGGATACAGTGGAAAGAGAGTTGAGTGGCCCAGTTAGACATTATGTGACAAAAAGGGGAACCTTGATAAGGTGTAGTATTTGCAAGGAACCAGACCATAACAAGAAAGTGTCCATCTAAGCAGCAAACAAATACATAAGGTAAGTTTTTTTCATCTCAACATAATACATCATTTTGATAAGTAATTGAGACTTTAATTATTTTTTTTTGCAGCACCAAGTTCCTCCAGGGGTAGTGGAGCCGGACCAAGTCGACCAGCAACAGCCCAACCACCACCACCACCACCACCACCAGCCCAACCACCACCACCACCACCACTACCACCAACCCAACCACCTCCACCACCACCAGCTGCAAGTCCTGTCCCAAGAAGGGCCCCAATTGGTAGAAGTGGACGGAGGCAATATTCTGAAAGGATTGTCAAAATGGCATTAAGGAGGAAGATACCTGGGGTTGGGAGCAGTGCAAAGAACACTGCAGTCCTTGATTAAGTGAGTGTGTAGGTAGTGGGTGGGCACATCTTTTGGTATCAAGTTGTGATGTAAAGACAAAGTACTATGTTTTCTTTATGCTTTTCTTTTAGGTGTGTGGGCACATGTGTTAGGACATGATTTATGGTTTATACTTTACTTTACATAACTTTTAGAGTTCTTGGTCTAGGACCGAAAACACCATGAATTCGGTGTTGTTTGGACCGAAATCATTAAGAGATTCAGTTAGGCTTTGGGCTGGGCCTTTGTAATTAGGTCTAGGTATATATAGTATTGTTTCAACCATGTTCAAGTTTGGTGATTCTGATTTGCTGATTTCGAGATTTTTGAGAGAGACAGAGAGAACCGAGAGTTATAGAGAGTCTTATGTACTAGACTATTGATCAATATAGTGTGCATTGAAGATTCATTATTGTGTTCTTATTTCATATTAAGATTTGTGGCATTCACTTGATTGGATTCCGCACCAATTCAAGTGATTTGGATTGATACCTTGATCATGGTTTTACAATTGGTATCAGAGCAAGGATTGGTATCAATCGAATTGGCAAAATATTAAGTTTTTCTTGGAGTTTCTGGCGTTTTTGAGTTTTTTTTAATGAAAATTATTATTGTTGTTCTTCGTGTTCTTCACTACATTGTAGACTTTGATCGAAATTGGTCTTGATAAATTACAAATTTCATGTTTCTAGCATTTTTGGGCATTTTCGATCAAGCCTCGGAGTTCTCGGTGGCAAACTTCAAGTTCTCGGTTAGGTTTAGGACTTTTCGGTGGCCTGCTGATCGAATTCGGTTAGGGTTTTCATATTTGACTTCACACTTTCTCGGCCAGCTCCTCGGACTCAACTTCAGAGCTCTCGGTCTCAGCTTCGGAGTTCTCGGCTGCGAATCTGTGCTCTCGGCTAGGTGTAACGCCCGTGTTTCAGGTCTAAGCAGTAGTAGATGATGTAATAGTCTAGGTCAACTATTGTAACTCTTTTTGAAGTAATAAAGATGAATTATTTTAGTATTATGTGAATTATGTGAATTTATGTGCTTTATACTTAATTATAAAGATATAATTAATAAAGAATAAAAATAAGCGTCAAAATTAAGTGTGAGATAAGCCGATAACTTTACCTAAAGTTGTAGTGGTCGAAACAAGGATTTCGGATATATAAAGAACGCAGAAATCCGAGTTATAACGAAGAAGTTATGACCCGTCGAAGTTTCGCGGCAAAACCGACACGGCACTGGGGAGCGTAAAAAGTGAATTTACGATAGAGCGATTTTTAGCCTTAGTAATCTAAACGAAAGTTGTAGAATATGTTAAACCGAGAGTGTCCATAAAAAGAACGCCCAAATCTGACTTCGTATGAGGAAGTTATGAATTTTCTAAGATTTGGCATAGCAGTGCACGGCCCGAAACTCGAATTTTAGATCGAGTGGTTTTTGGCCTACATGACCTAAATGAGAATTGAAGATCTCATTAATAGGAACTCAACGGTAAAAAGATAGAAGAAAACGGAGTCCGTATGTAGAAGTTACGAATTTTACGCAGTCATCTAACAGTATAATCTTCTCATACTGTTAAATTTAAAATCGGTTGAGAATTAGCCGATGGAGTCAAAAGGAAAGTTGTAGATCTTGTTTTTACCTACGCGTGGATATAAAGAACATCAAAACGGAGCTCATATGGGAAAGTTATGAATTTTTAAAGATTGGTTGTTTACCTGCTGTGTTCGGCGCCACGTGTCAGCATCAGGCGAAGCCTTGGAGTCTACGCGAGACCACGACGTGGAGAGAGGCACCATGACGTGGAGTCGCTCCAGGACGCCTATAAATAGAGGTGCGGGGGCTGCCTCCAAACTCACACCTTTACCAACTTCTTTCTCTCTCTAAACACTCTCTAACACCCCCAAACCCCCCCAAAAGCCTAGGAAACTTCCCTAGCACTTGAAGAAAGACTCGGAGAGCCCGAAGTCTCCGAGAAAAAGAGTTTTTCGGTTCGAAACTCTGCCCGTGTAGAGCCCGGTTTTCAAGCAAACTTCCCGGTTTTGTTAAAGGAGATTATTTTAAGAAGCGAAGTGTTGTCCGAATCAGTCCTTATCAGGTGAGTGCATAGTCACTTTCATCTTACACATAGATATGAAGTATTTTATATAAATTATGTGCTATGTGTCTAAATATATGTTGTCTGTTTACCTGAGATGTTTGCTGGATGAAAGATCTGAACCTCTTTTCTTTTTAGATCTGAACTTCTTCCTTTAGATCTAAACATTTTCTTCCAGATCTGAACTTTCTCCTTCAGATCTAGATTTTCCTTCGGATCTAAACTTTTTTTTTTTGATCTAAGACTTTTCTTCAGATCTAAATGGTATATGTCTTTTTTTTTTCAGATCTAACCCTTTTCTTTCAGATCTGAACTTTTTCCTTCAGATATGGACTTTCTCACTGTAGATCTGAACTTTTCAGATCTAAACCTGATATATGGATGATTAATACTTGAGATCTGTGTTGGATGAAAGATCTAAACTTCTTCCTTTCCAGATCTGAACTTTTCTTCAGATCTAGACTGTATATGTATTTTATGCTTTGAAAAATATGATGAAAGATTTAAACTTTGTTTTTTAGATCTAGACCTTTTTCTTTAGATCTGAACCGTATATATGTTTTCTTTACAGATCTAAACTACTTCTTCAGATCTGAATTGTATATGTATTTTATATCTACAAATATGTTGGGTAAAACATGGGTAGATGAAATAGTTGGTGTGTTATGAAAGATGAGTTAGAGGATGAGATAAAAGGTAATATAGATTATGAGATGAGGGTGAGAGGTGAGAGGTGAAAAATGAGAGAAACCTTTACCCAAACGATGGCCCCGTCATCTAGCAGAGTACAGATGACAACCATGGACTATTCTAGACAGTCTGTGGAACACTAGCAGACTCGCTACCTGTAGGTGTTGTGAACGATATGTTCACCTGGTGTACTCTAAAAACCCATTGACATGTATTGCAGGTGGACTCCCGCAAATAATACTGTCGATAAATGAGAGCTATGGACTTAGCACCCGTTGGATGAACCCTGGCAGCTATGGATTTAGTGCTTGTTGTATAAACCTTGGCGACTATGGACTTTGTGCCTATTCCTTAGGAAAACCCTTAAGAATGAGTGAAAAATGATCCTTAGGGTAGATCCCTAGGAATTAAAGAAGATAATGGGGATGGGTAATTGGGTTAATTGTTTGATGATAAAACATAATAACTTTATTATTGTGGGTTGAAAACCCTATGTACTCACCAGGTTTCCCAACCTGACCCACTCAGTTTATTTGTATCACAGGTGTCGATATAAAGCTACACTTCACTGAGGGATTAAAGAGATGTAGATCACTAGTGTAAATTAATGTAAGTTATGTTTATGCTTATGTTTCTGTATTGACGTTGACATCCCAATGTTTTAAAAGGAATAAAATACATTTCTTCGGAAGTGCTTTGATAACATATTTATCATGTTTTTCCGAGAATAAAATTCCGCAACACTTTTATTAAGAAGTTTACTCTGATTTTTTTATTAAAAAGCATAAACTAAATCGGTCTTTTCTGGCCGTAAAAATGGGGATTTCACAGTTGGTATCAGAGCATTAGTTTAAGCGAACTAGGAATTTGTAGGATTTCTAGACTTAAACTTAGAATGCTAAGTGATGATTGTGAGATGAGTGTCTACCATATTTTAGACACGAGCACTAGTTTATTTTAGGAAAGATGCCTAACTTGCTTTATGTGCTAAATAAATTATGATGCTTTATGATGCTACCGGATCTATGGTCTGTTGCCGACCGGATCTGGAAATTTTATGTGTACAGGTTTCTAAACGTTTGATTACGGAATTAGAACTGTCATGTAACTTTTCGGAGTAATAAGGAGATTTATACGTCTATCATAAATAAATCTTTTCTATCTAAATTCTCGTCACTACACGTCGAACTTCTGATTTTGGTGTATAGATCGACATGGTGAGCACTCGAAGTGGATTCATAAATAGTAACCCGCAGCTTAAGCCACAAGTGATTGAGAAAGCACCAGAAGTAGTAGTTGCACCTGAACCAATCACGATGGCAGGAGTACAGGCAATGGTGCGGATGATGTTGGATCAACGGATGGAAGAGACAAGGCGTTTACTTCAACAAAGTAAGGACGAACTTACTGTGCCGGTACGCCAGGCACCAACTCTTGAGGCAACCATCTGGGTTGCTAAGTCTATTGAAGAAATGATCAACGACAGGACTACCAACAAGGTTGAAGTTGGAAAGAAGAGGAAACTTGAGGGGTCTTCAAGGTCCAAGAAGAGCAACATGTTCTCAAAGTCTGGCAAAGGAGGAGGTAAAAAAAACGGTGCGAGAAGTGCAAAAATAAACACTCTGGAAGAGAGGTGACTTGCTTCAAATGTGGAAGGACTGGGCATTACACCAATGAGTGTACATTTAGTAAGAGGGTGTGCTACGGTTGTAGGGAAGAAGAACATATTTCTAAGGACTGCCCGAGGAAAAATGAAGTCGCAAGAGCAAATGTGCCTCCAAAGCCGAAGGCAAGAGCATCTCAGACAATCCTCGACGAAGAAGGTGACAACGCAAGGAATCACGAGTGAGGATTTTCTATCCAAAGATCAAGATATGTAGTAGCCATGTGGGTAGTATCTTATGATGTAGCCTATTAGAGGCATAGTCTAGGGTAAACTTGAACACCTATGTAATCGTTTCAAGGAATAATATAAAACCTTCGTTTTGCTATCTGATGTGTTAAGCTGTTGTGTGATTTTCATGTATGGTGACTTGGAAAACTGCGAGACAATACTTGGGACGAGTATGAGTAGGTGTGGATGGCAGTAGAGGCCTATGCTACCGGAAGCACAGGACTCGCACTTGGATCAGGGAAAGTCACAAGGTTACCAAGGCACTAGTAATTGATTATGTTTTGTTCATATCTGTTGTTACCATCGTTTCGGTAATGACTAAGA